CCCTCAGAACTTCAGTGATTGTGTCTCTGGAGTGTGAGTGACAGTAGTAAGTAGACACACACTATCGGGGTGTATGTACGTATGCCCACACTCTTGTTGATATAGATAAAGTTACCCAAACAATTAATCATTACTAGTACCATAAGACGCCCTTACCTGGTACTAATAACAAGAGTGCCATTACCACAAGTGTCACCAGCTCCCCAGGTAATGTTGGCACTAAAGGTGAGAGAGATGTCGCCGGCGTAAGATGGCGTCACCGTGAACTGTAGCAGGCCTTGGGTACCCGGCCCCACACACACCTCCCTCGTGTACCAGCTGGCGTTATACCGGGAACTTTCTGCCAGAGTCACAGTCACCTGAAGGGGGTATGGAAGATGAGGGAGACGGTGGTACAACATATCAGTTTAAATGATCGTTCTCAAAGGCTTAAACCATCGTCCTCAAAGGGTTAAATCATCGTCCTCAAAGGGTTAAGCCATCATCCTCAAAGGGTTAAATCATCGTTCTCAAAGGGGTGAATCATTATCCTCAAAGGGTTAAACCATCGTCTTCAAAGGGTTAAATCATCGTCCTCAAAGGGTTAAATCATCGTCCTCAAAGGGTTAAGGTAATGACCGTCTTTAAGAAACATATAAATTCCGAGTGAATGAAGAGACAATAAAGAGACAGTGAAGAAAGACAGTGAAGAGAGACAGGAGGAGATAGTGGAGACAGGAGGAAGAGGTTGATACAATTTGCACTTTAAGAAATCTGAAATTAGTGAGACTTTTATGAGAGAGGTAGAGAGATTTCCTTTACTAGACACAATTAGGACTTCTGGGAATATCAGGGGTATTTGTATCTGGACAAGAAGAAGTACATACTGTAATATATTAGGTCAGGCACTGTCTGGTCTTACTGCCTCAAAACTTAGTATTGGTGACGACTAAAATTTTCTCTGGTAGATTATCATGTGGCATCTACTAATTGTTTCTAAAAGCTCTCAAATTTGTTTCCCTTCAGCTTATTCTTTTTCCTTTAGTTAACAAATTTCTCTATTATGTGACCATGAACTGTTTAATCTCACCATCGAGTTGTGATCACACAGCCAAGTAACTCTCTCCCACGTCACTCACCGGGAGGCTCTGGTTCAGGTAGTTGAAGACAGACACAAGCAGTGGCACTTGTTCCCCTCGACGGGCTGAGGGCGGGGCGATCAGATCCAGGAAGAAGGGGGTGAAGGTGATGATAGAGGCGGGGCCACTGAATCCCACACCGTTCTGGGGGTGGACACACACAGCCTTCCCGACCCATTCAGTGACGGTGTCTGGTAGTGTTACTTCCTCTACTGTCTCACCAGTGTTGCTGATGAGGGAGAGGTGTGTGAGGGTTGAGCTAGGACAGGTGAACTAAAACTCATTAATTATTAAAGTAAATGTAAGAGGCGCTGGTCTGTAAACGGAGAAAGCTGTGGTTTGGATTCCATTCATGTCTTATAGTTCCCTTAACATAAACTATTACATGATGTGTTTAAGTTAATGATGACATATCCACCAATAAAGCTTATTTGTTGTTGTAAATGTCACCGTGTGTGTGTGTGTGGGGGGGGGGGGGTGAGGTACTTACTCGAGAACCAGGAGCTGCCAGAGCCAAGTCTCAGGGAAGTAGCTCCTTGTGTCCTGTCCGTTACGGACTTCCTCCTCCTCTGTATCGCCCTCCTCCTCCTGTTCATCCCCTTCCTCCTCCTGTTCATCCCCCTCCTCCTCCTGTTCATCCTCTTCCTCCTCGCTGCTCTCCCCTGGCGATGCTACAGGCGCCATCACTGCCATATCATCCAGTGGCATTATTCCTGCAATAATGTTGTTGTTATGCTTAGTAGAGATAGAGTCAAGGAAGTTTCATTATCAACGGTGACACAATAGTTCATAGAGTTTATTTAAGACTATAAACTAGATAAAAAAACAATATTACCCAAGTATATTATAACATCTATAGTCATGATATAAAGTATCATTTGAATATTATTTTCTTGTTGTTAATCTCTCTCCTGTACACACACACACTATCCGATAGAAGGCACGAGGAGACTCTCAGATGTGTGTGTGTTAGTAAGTCAGTACCTGGCAGGAACAGGTCAGGGACATGGTGAGGACAAGGTCGAGTCTCCAAGTCGAGGTCGGTAACCACCAGTAATCCTGCGTCCTGAGGGGCGTGGGGAACAAGTTAGTGTCACACACACACCACGACCCGTAACTATTACTAAAGATTCAGTTAACTTTTATATAATCCTGTTATAGACTTACGTCAGCTTATTGAGGCAATTTAACATTCTCTATAACTTTACATAGGATTGTAGACATAAAAGGAAGTTACTCACTCTGAAGGCATAAAAAGCATCAACGTAGTGCACAGCATACGAATCTTCCATCCCCGTAGCTGACCTCCTCTTACGTATTGGCGGTAGAGGATAATCTGTAAGACGATACACTCTTCACACAGATAGTTTAACACACACACACACACACACACACACACACACACACACACACACACACACACACACACACACACACACTTTACCACGTCGAGTAACTAACCGTAATCCCAGTAATCGTAGTTGTAATCTTGGTAGCAGCGGGAGTAAAGGTCCAGGTAGTCATAGTGTTCCCAGGACTGTACCTCCATCCCTCGCACGACATCCAGGAGCGTGTGTACAGACAGTTGATGAGGTTGTTCCCTTGCTAGCATCTCTACACTCCGGTCCACTACTCCTGAAGAAGGGGTGAAGGAGGGGGGTCCATCAAATTTTATAACATGTGTCTCACGTAGATAACTTCTCTTGATATCTCACCACATCCACATATTGAAGTAAAAGAACATACTGCTACCTCGCCAAGACGGATTTGAGGCAAATATTTCTCACTATCTCACCAAGACACAAGAAAGACCATTATCTATCCCTATGTCACCAAGACCCGAAAGAGACCAATGTCTCTCACCATCTCATCAAACATCTCTCAGCACCTCACCAAAACACAAGACCTAACATTCTTAATTAAGAACTCACCAAGACCACAGATAGAGTTGGGATTGGCAGAGAGGGTGAAGCTGGTCTTGTCTCCTGGTGCCGGGGGATTGGTGCCATTAGAGGAGGAGGAGTGCCAGGTGAGAGTGGTGGGGTTGGTGAGACACAGTGCCACGTCGATAGTGCCTGATGCTGACACCACCTCCCCGTCCGTTCTCGAATACCAGATGATTATCTATAAGAAAGAGTGAAACACAATATAGAAACGAGATGGATGGGTGGGTGGGTGGAACGACACATTCATCATTATTCATCACAGGAACATAAGTAAACCAGTCATCATCACACCAGGACTCACGTAGACAGTGGGTGAGGCTGTAGGTGGCAGCGTGACCTCAATAGTGAAGGACCCTCTAACTAGTTCTCCTTCTGGGTCCTTTAGCGGCGCCAACAGAAGGTCCTCATCCAAACCCAAAGGCGAGGCAGTCAGTACTCGCTCTTGGATGCTTGTCATTATGACCTGACCTCGGGATATGACCTGTGGAAGGAGGAGGAGGAGGAAGGTGGTAATGAATCAGGTCATGAAGAAGAGAATGATAATGGTGTGGTGTGGTATGGTATGGTGTCGCGTGGTGTGGTGTGGTGTCGTAACTCACCTGGGTAGTCACAGCAACCTTGTCCGTGTTATTGGTCACAAATATAACTGGTATTAAGACCTTGATGTTCTGTCCAGGCTGGCACTCAAGTCTACCAGAAGGAAGGTGAAGGGCCATACTGGAGCAGGAAGGCGAGTAGTAGGTCTTGATGTAGAAGGTGGACTCTGAGGGCTGCAGGTCACCTAATATGCCCGGTCCTCCTTGGTGGTCTACTGCTCCCACCTAGGAAGAAAACAAAGGCTGTAGTGTAGTGTTGGGTGATGGCTTACTGGGTCGAAGACGTACTGTTATCGTCATCTCTGGTTTAACCCTTTGAGTCCTGAAGGATTAAATCATCGTCCATGAAGGGTTAATCATCATCATCGTCCACAAAGGGCTATACTGATGGTGGTTTGTGTCCTTTCGTATGAGATGTAAAAATATAATAGCTGCCATCGCTTGACTCACCTGAACGTAAGCAGGTGTGTCTTGGTGTATGAGGTGAGGCGGCAAGATAGAGGTAACGGAGCCGTTGTTATTGGTGGTATAGTTATTGCAGATGTCGGCCACACACACCAACACGGGCTCCCCTCTGGCCAGCATCTCGCCTGCATACCTCGCCTCTACCTGTCATAGGGGAGAAGGATGAGATAGCTGACTATAATTTGCCTTTATTATGATGTGTAGTCACTCTTTTCCAATACTAAGAAAATTATTTGATAATCTAATAATTTATCGGTAAACTATCCATTAAATCATCTACATCTTTTTTGTTCAGAAATATAAAGTCTTGAATTCATCCTTGTACAAATAATTCTTTGAAAAATGTATATATATCAATGGCCATAATCAACAGAACTGAAGTCAATTATCCTGTATAATCTAATGTATTCTAACTAAACCCAACTAAGCCCAACCCAATCCAACCCAACCTGAAACACAAAGGGAAGTCCTGGCTTGAAATAGCGTTCACTCTTGATCATCTTAAAGGTCACTACTTGTCGATGAATTTTGACCTCTGTGAAGGCTTCGTAGGTGACCCCAGTACCCTGCTCCGTCACTACCGCCTCCACGTTCAGGGTGTGGAAGTACATCTCCTCCGTCAGGTTATTAGTCGACACGTTCACCGCCACACAGCCCGTGAATGACTGTTAAATGTCACAACACGTTATTAATACAGTAAAACCTCTATTTAACGGATTATATGGAGAGGAAAGTCCAGTTGATAAATGAGAGATTGAGACACAGAAGAGAGATAATAAATCACTAATAAAATACAAAGAGACACAGAAGAGATAATAAATCAATAAATCACAAACGAGAGATAATGAGACACAAACAAGAGACAAAGAGAAACATACGAGATAAAGAAAAAATAGCCCACCAGACACACGTAAACAGCAAGAGACAGGCGAGTTATGCCAGGTAAGAGCAGACGGTGATAAGTTCTGTCAATACCTGTACTGTTGTGTTGACAAGTGGGTGTTGATCCTCCAAGTGCCCGTTATAGTAGTGTGTGTGGGTGTGTACAACCAGCCAAGCCGAACCTTCCACCTCCTGGCCCCAGTTGTACCTGTAAACACCTCGGTACCGTAATTATTCCAAGGTTAATTTAGATCGCCTTGAAATTTTAACACCTTAGTGTATTTCATCTGTTGAGTACACTTTCTGAGGAAGAAAGAAAGAAATAAAGAAAGAACAAAAGAAAGAAAGAAACAAAAATAAAACCCGTGAATTACTCAGCACAGATGGTGAATATAATGTATTGATCAGAGGAAAGGACGTAAGGTGGAGGGCTGAGTGTGACCTCAAACCTGGGCAGGTCATAGTGCTCCACCTCGAACACTTGGTATCCCTTGCCTACTTCTGTCCTCGTCTGGATCTTGTACTTCCCCTGCAGGAGAGACCACAACCCGTCAGAAGAAAGGGACTGGCATTAAGGGAAAGGTTAGATTAGGTTATATAATGAGTGGCGAGAGTAACATCACATGCTAACCAGAGCAGGAGATAAGATGTCAAGTACGGGATGTGTTATAAAAAAGTGAAATTTTATGTACTACAGAAATATATATTATGAGAAAGTTATTTCCTAAATATCTAAGCTGCCACTTGTACAGTAAATTGCTATAGTCCGTTCACCTCTCCTCCTGAACCACGAACCCCCGAGAGATTCAGACTCGTGAATCCGAAGCAGTAGATTGATACAATATCCTATTCACTAATGGGTCTGGATTCGTGAGTCTGAATCTCTCGGGGGTTCGTGGTTCAGGGAGAGAGACGAATGGACTTTAGTAGTTAACTGTACAATGCGGATAAAAATATCATTATTACTTACTTCCTCAACTTCATCTGCCAGAGGAAATTCCAAATGCACAAGACCTTGCGAGTTGTTCACTTTGAGCCAATGAGCGAGTCGAACACCTGAAGGGGACGTAACCCACACCTCCTCCAGATCTTCATACGACACCTTTGACTCCGCTCCGACGATAGTGAGGATACGGAACTTCACCACTTGACCTGGCATGTAGAGGAATTTGTCTGTCTGAACGAATGTCTTGCCCATTTCTTCCAATTTGACCATCAGGGACTCGGAGACCATAGCGGCACCCACCTTACCAAAGATCTCGAGGTCACCGTAATATTCACTCACATTCGGGACGTCTAGAGTGGTACAGACGTGACCAGGTCCCTCTACTGCAGATGAAAAGTTTATCTTCTAAATAAACCAAATTTCAGACAACACTGTAGATCATTAACAACAACACAACTTAACCTAACCTAACCAGTAATTTTCAGCTGCTCTAACCTGTGGTGTTAAGGAGGACAGAGCTGGTGTTGGAAGAGGTCTTGGTCGACAGGCTTATGAAGAGGTCGACCATGGTCTCCTGGTTGAGCACTGTAAACACACACACCGACGCTCTCCCTCCAGCCACCCATTTATCCGGGGTCGTGATCAAGTACTCACTGGGTTAAAATAAATGACAACGAATACACACGATAGGAAATAGAGCAAAACAAAATAACAGTGAATAAATAATGGTCATCGTTAGTTATGCTGGAGCAATGGTGTCATGGAAAAAAAGCCTTTATGTTTAAAATATAAAATTGTACAGTAGAACATTGTTAGAGTGAACTAATACTTTAAATAACTCACTTGGTACACTCCCACTGGAGGTCACAGCACCTGTTGTGCTTGATGGGGCGGCAGAGAGGGTCAGAAGGAGGGGTCGGGCACACCTCGAGCTGGCATAGTGCTTCAGGCTGGCCATTACCCACACTCTGACACTCACACTCCCCACAAGGCGCAACGTATGTCTCCCAGGTCTCCCCGATGCCATAGTACAAACCCTGACTCAAGCAGGTCGTACTATGGAAAGAAAAACATTAAGCAGGAATCACTTATAAGACATTTGGAAGGTGGAGGTGAAATATGAACGTCGGTACGAAATAACTTGATTTTTTCTTTGCCAGCAGTGGCCAGATCTTGTGTAGTATATACAGAAGACCTGCTGCTTACATCTAAAAAAAAAAAATATCACTAAAACAGTACAAGGGAACTCACTTATCGCAGAAGTACTGGGGGCAGCACTGGCCTAACGGCTTCTGAAGGGTGAGACAGTCCTTGTGAGATTTGCCTGGACAAAAGGTGTCCCAGCATTTCGTGTAGGCGCCCTCGATGCTGCTGAAGAGGCATCGACACGTCTTGCAGTTCTCCTCCTCCTTCCACTGGTCATCAATCTGGTAGACGGTGCCATTCTTCGAGGAGCAGTTACTAGGATGGTAAACAAAGAGTTGTTGGCACCTTAGACAATATTAAGACAATTCTACACCAAGTTCTTGAGTTAACTGTGAAAATTTTTTGTTTAGAAGAGAAACACACTCATACGTCAACGGCCGACGAATGATTTTTGCAGGTAATTGATAATAGATATTGAAGTAGAATTTTTTAATACCGGTAGTAAAAATAGTGATAATATTGTTTATATAACAATTAAAAATATCAACAGGTGAGAGAGAGACAGGTAACTCACCGAGGCAGGTCACCACATAGCCAGTATTTACAGCAGGTAGCGTTGACGAGGGTGCAATTGTTGGCCGGGGCAGCTGCCAGTAAGGGACAAGCGTCACACACCAGCGACTGAGTTCTGCCGGGGGGACCTCGTTCAGTGGTGTAATGATTTCTGTAGTAGTATTTCAATCCTTTATATTTGCTCAAGACTTACTATAGCCTATGGACGCGCATTAGTCTTCGCAATACAACATCCAAAATAAGGCAAGGGAAATCCAGCCCATGTTAAAAAGAAGGAAATTTTGTGTTAAACCAATGCCAGGTTCGGTGTCTGCTAACATGTAAATAACAGTGTTAATGAAAAGGGTGTCAGTTTCTTGTATGTTAATGTGAGTTTTGATATCCAAGTTGACATTAACATTATTGTGAATGCCACTATGGTTAAGTAACTGAATAAGTTTCCCCCACTTACTCCTGTTGTTCTACGCTGTTGACTGCATCAGGGCCAAGGGGCGGCATGACGCTGTTGTCACCTGCAGAGGATAAGGAACCTTGTGTGAAAAAAATGTGGGCTCTGGTAAAATTTGTTCGTCAACAGAAACCTCAAGCTGGAGGTTTATATGATATTTCAGCTTGAAAGTCATACGCTAATCTCTGTTACCCTAATTCTGGCTGGGATTCAAACTAGTGTCCCTGACTATGATACTAACATTTTGAAACATCGACACTGTATATTTAATCATCATTGATCAAGTCATCTCTTGGTGTAAGAATCTGGTTAAATGTGTTGTGAGGTGAGATCCCAACCTGGGCAGAGTATTGAGTTCGGGTCAGACGTCCAGACCTCACCACTAACATCCTATGATACATAACTGTACAGTCACTCAAAAAACTATCTGTTCTTGGGGTGATCGATGAATTTCGGAATAAACACTACGACTCCTTTCGTCTCGGTAGGGTTGTCAAAATCCTTCTTCTGCTGTGTAATTTGTTCAGCACAATTTTGTATAGAGTGTCTTGAGTAACTGTACATCTCAACTATATAAGAAATACATTAAGATATTCATGACAAGTAATTTTTATATGTTTTTATATAGTTATTAATCCATAAACAAAACTAAAGAAGTAAGTTTATAAATATAAATGACATGATAATGGGGTAACTAGTGTTCAACTGAATATATATTTTGCATATAAATTCACACGAAATAAAAATAATAAGTGAATAAAATGGTTTAAATTAGGAATTATTTGTAACACATACAAAGGTGATAATCATTACCTCAATAAATGTAATAATTGTTCTTAAAACACAACTTACTGTTCGGGGAATTTCAGTTGAGATTTTTCCAACATCAAGACATCCAGTAATGTATTACTAACGAACCCTCGATATAACGGACTTTTCTCTCCATATAGTCCGTTAAATAGAGGTTTCGCTATACATTTTAGATCAACTACAGATAATACTGGACTGGGTGAGAGCATGTGTAGAGTAGCAGAGCAGAGTTTAATATAAAGCCACATTGTGCAGTAATAAAACCCTTCCACTTGGGGTCATAACCTACCAGCTTATATCATAACTCCACACGTAAACAAAACTACAAACAACACACCATAAAACCCCTGATGTAACACACCAAAAAGTATCTTCACGGAGAGGATCGATAAATTTCACAATGAACATTACGACTCCTGTTATCTCGGTAGGGTTGTCAAAATCTTCCGTCCGTTGTGTCTAATTGTCGAACATAAAACCGTAAAGATACTTGTTTGGAGTGTGTGTTCATTACTAACTATAAACTACTAAGCTTTAAAACAATAATACAATTAAAATAAATTCAAAAATAATCTTAAAATGACTAAATCTAAAATTAGTGTAAATGAAGTATGAGGTATGGTCAAGAGGCGGTGGCCAGACCAAATGTTGTTAGTTCCGTCAGACGTGCACGCCTCCCCTTCCTCCTGCTTCCCTGCCTGCACGCCTTCCTGCCTTTACTCCTCCCTGCCTGCACGCCTTCCTGCCTTTACTCCTCCCTGCCTGCACGCCTCCCTGCCTGCACGCCTCCCTGCCTGCACGCCTCCCTGCCTGCACGCCTCTCCGTCCGAACGCCTCCCTGCAAGCACTGGATCACACACTTATCTGAAATGGAAAGGGAAATATAGCCAAGACTTTATTTAGAGAGAGTAACTGTCTTGTATATATGAATTGGCTTGACAGATCATGTGAGACGTGTATTAATTCTATATTCAGAGAGAGTAGAGTAAAGGGAGTCCTTTTACACACACACACTCACACACACACTCACACACACACACACACACACACACACACACACACACACACACACACACACACACACACTCACACACACACACACACACACACACACACACACACACACACACACACACTTTCTTTAATTCCCTTTGTCGCGGCAAACATCAAAAGATCTCATAATGGTGGTTCTGCAGCGCGGCGGGCCCCATTCACCAAGACAAGTGTTACTGCTGCAGCTCCAGGCACTTGTTGAACACCTGTGTCACAGCCCCCCTTCCCTCTCTCCATCTCCCTCCCTCTCTCCCCCTCCTTCCCTCTCTCCCCGACATACAGAACGTGAGGAGACTAAAAATGACTTTATGGAACTCGTGTGTTAAACTGGGGAGACAGAGAGAGTTGTGGGGGGGTAGGGAGGAGAGGGAGTAAATGGGGAGAGGGAGAGAGTGGGGAGAGGGAGAGAGTAGGGAGAGGGAGAGGGTGAAGGGAGAGGGAGAAGGTGAAGGGGGAGGGAGTGGGTGGCAAGAGAGAGTAGGCGGAGAAAATAGAACTCCGCCTGGTGACATCATTTATCACACCGATATTACCTTACCCAGCAATACCTCTTCACACTATGAGCACCAATCAAATATTAAAATTACAGGTGGTCCAAAATGAAGCCCTAAGATTCGTCACAGGTGAATGATACCCCTTCACCAGAACCACAGCCGAGATACACAGAAACCTGAGAATGAAACCCATCAACCAGCAGCTGCACACCCTGGCCAGCAGAATCTGGCAAAAGATAGAACGATCAGAGCAAGAACTCCTTCAAAGACTCCCACCAGATAACGACAACAACCATACATGGTTCCCAAAAAGTTACCAAATCTCAAAAGGTCCATTACCACCCCCGATCTACACAGCCAAGCAATAGACAACCTCCCTAGACCAGCATCCGCCAGTAGGGTCGGCGGAATATGAAATAAGGCCCTTAAAACACCCATATATGGAACAGGGTAGGCTGTTTAGTGCCTGTACCGACAGACAATTACTAACCCATGACACAACCCTAACACACTATTAGCTTAGGTAGGCGGTCAGCCCTCCCTCTCTTACCTCCTCCTAAATTTCTTCAATTTCCGAACTATAACTTCCTTTACCCACCTCTAATCTTCTTTCACCCTCCTTTCTCTACAAAAAAAAAGAGTGGCTGAGGGTTGGGGGATAGGGTGAGAGTGGAGGCGGTGGGGGAGAGTGGGGAGGAGAGCCAGGGGATATTGGCCGTCGTACTGATAGGCCCCGACTTAGCCTAATATTTCCATTGGGATTGCGCCCCTGGCCAGGAGGGTTAAATAATTGTCTTCAAAGGGCTAAATAGTCATACTAAAAGGGTTAAGATAAAAAAATAATAATTAGCAGGAATTCATAGCAGCGTATGCTGTTACGTAAGGTCGTCTGCAGTACTGTTAACAGGACAACAGTTCCCTTACAGATAACAACAGCAATAGAAAAGTACAACAGCACTATAAAGAGGCAGCAGTGTGTCAGTAGCACCAATATTGAAGGGGTAACTCCATTAATTATGTTACTTTAGCAACATTAAGAAACAATATTAGCATTAGAAGGCAAGAATCACCACCACGGAACATTATCAACACGAGGCGACAGTCACAATAGTCCGGAACAAAAGTAAAAATTCAGAGAATAACACTAACACTAAAGCTTGATGTAGGAAGATCATCATTTATGCATACCAGCATCACGTAGTTAAGTATAATAACAGTCTCATATAATGGTACAATAACAGTATTCTAAAAGTTAAACCCAACTTGACAACACCAGGCTACCAAGAGACGCTACAGCTTACCTACGAGAAGGTTCGCGAGTAACTGACGACTGAGCAAGTTAGCGAGTACTGTCGAAGAAGCGACAACTCGACCTACCATTGGCTTATTCAGTGAAAAATGGTGACTTGAAGGCCCTTTAACGCTCCTCCCTCACGGTGATGATGTAGACTACGACTCAGCACAACATGTGTGATAGGACGACACAGTTGGCCAGGTAATGTTAACGTAGTGTTGGTGTGTATACAGGTGGAAAATGTCAATTATATACGAGTGTAAGGAAGTAATAATCATGAATATATAGAACGTTATGGAGTCGTCTTTACTACAATCATCAGAGGACAACACAGTAATAGTAATGAAATTTTGTTCTATTATTTGGCTCTACAGGTGACGAGATGAAAAGAACTGGGAATGGATAACAACACCTGCGACACACCTGTACTGAACCAGTCTCATCACACCTGTACTAAACCTGTATCATCACACCTGTACTAGGCGTGTATCATCACACCTGTACTAGACCTGTATCATCACACCTGTACTTGGCCTATATCATTACACCTGTACTAGACCTATATCATCACACCTGTACTAGACCTGTATCATCACACCTGTACTAGACCTGTATCATCACACCTGTAATTGGCCTATATCATCACACCTGTACTAGGCCTATATCATCACACCTGTACTAGACCTGTATCATCACACCTGTACTAGACCTGTATCATCACACCTGTACTTGGCCTATATCATCACACCTGCACTAGGCCTATATCATCACACCTGTACTAGACCTGTATCCTGTATCATCACACCTGTACTAGACCTGTATCATCACACCTGTACTTGGCCTGTATCATCACACCTGTACTAGACCTGTATCATCACACCTGTACTAGACCTGTATCATCACACCTGTACTAGGCCTGTATCATCACACCTGTACTAGACCTGTATCATCACACCTGTACTAGACCTGTATCATCACACCTGTACTAGACCTGTATCATCACACCTGTACTAGACCTGTATCATCACACCTGTACTAGACCTGTATCATCACACCTGTATTAGACCTGTATCATCACACCTGTACTAGACCTGTATCATCACACCTGTACTAGACCTGTATCATCACACCTGTACTTGGCCTATATCATCACACCTGTACTAGACCTGTATCATCACACCTGTACTTGGCCTATATCATCACACCTGTACTTGGCCTGTATCATCACACCTGTACTAGACCTGTATCATCACACCTGTACTTGGCCTATATCATCACACCTGTACTAGGCCTGTATCATCACACCTGTACTGAACCAGTCTCATCACACCTGTACTTGGCCTATATTATCACACCTGTATTAGACCTGTATCATGACACCTGTACTGGGCGTGTATCATCACACCTGTACTGAACCAGTCTCATCACACCTGTACTAGGCCTGTATCATCACACCTGTATTAGACCTGTATCATGACACCTGTACTAGGCGTGTATCATCACACCTGTACTAGGCGTGTATCATCACACCTGTACTAGGCCTATAACATTACACCTGTATTAGACCTGTATCATCACACCTGTACTAGGCCTGTATCATCACACCTGTATTAGACCTGTATCATGACACCTGTACTTGGCCTGTATCATCACACCTGTACTAGACCTGTATCATCACACCTGTACTTGGCCTATATCATCACACCTGTATTAGACCTGTATCATCACACCTGTACTAGACCTGTATCATCACACCTGTACTAGACCTGTATCATCACACCTGTACTGAACCAGTCTCATCACACCTGTACTAGGCGTGTATCATCACACCTGTACTGGACCTGTATCATCACACCTGTACTAGACCTGTATCATCACACCTGTTGTATGTCTCAGTTTTCCAGGAAATTATTTATTCTTTGTGGTGATAATAAAATATGCAAGGGGGTTAATGGATTCCCACTGACCCCCCAACCCTAACACACAGTAGGATCTCAATGATAAACAAAACTCATAAATAACTAATATATTAAAAAATCAATTCAAATAACATACAATGTATACAATAATCTTCCCCGAAAGAGCCGAAAGGCGAAGTGGCCAGTATTCTCCAAACAAGCCCCAACCATTCTGGATGCTGGGTATCTACAAGGTATATCCTGGATCCTGGTACCAACAGGTATATCCTGGAAACGTTCTCATGCTGGAGTTTTACCTCTTACTGAAAGCGTCGCGGATAATATTATCCTGGATATGTTGGGGATGCTGGACACTTCCTCATTGTATACTTCGTTCTTGGCATCTCCAGGAAGGATCGTAGAAGGTGGACGGTTCTTAAAGTTGTTCTGAATGCTTGATATCTGGGAATATCCTGGACGTGGGGCACCTTGGATATTTAGGCTGTACAATACTCTACAGTTGCCTCCAGGATGCCGCCTGAGAAGTGTGCTAGATGCTAACACTTCCCCTTCAGGAGTGTCCATGACCCTGAACACCTCCCCTTCAGGAGTGTCCATGATCCTGAACACCTCCCCTTCAGGAGTGTCCATGACCCTGAACACCTCCCCTTCAGGAGTGACCATGACCCTGAAAACCCCTTAGAAGCGACCTGCATTTCGAGTTTAAGATGATGAACATCTTGAAGATGCGTCACATGACCTCCTTACCAGCCCTTGCCTTTGAAGCCAATAGTTCCTGGGCCAAACCTATGAGATGTTTCGAACGATCTGAAATTAACGACCATAATCAACAGATATTATTATTATTATTATTATTATTATTATTACTATTATTAAAAGTGTTCACTTCCAAACGTTCCTTAGGGACTTAGGGCACGGAGGAACGGGACTTTAATCTTATGCTTAAGAAGACTTTATTGACACAGTAGCGATACTCACACAGACGACTGACGGACATGACTATACGGTCTGTAATACCTCCGGAAGGTGATCTGGGTAGAGGGCGCCACCACCAGGAGCAGTAGTACCAATGCCACCACCGTCAACATCACCTGTGAGTGAAGATACAACAAAACCGAATAAAAATCACAATATATCAATTATTTCTTGTAAACACTTGAGTCATTCTGTCAATTCCGTCAATCATCAATTATTTTGGAAGCGTAAAGCGGCGTAAATGTCAGAGGTAGCTAATGACAAACGCCCGTACATTATTAGAGTGATGGTAGGGGAGGTGAGAGAAAAGAGCAGCTCACCCATATCATTTACATACAAGTAAATCATAGTGAATATAAACCAAGAACTATGTAACCAGAGAGAAGTAACTTAATATAACCGAACTGAATATAACTAATGAATGAATAGGCCACCCCCTCCCACTCCTGACACACACACACACACACACACACACCCCCAGCCAGCCAGCCACACACACTCATCCAACCCCACACACACACAAACACATACACACATTCACACACTCCACACATACTCACCTTCCCACACACACTCACCCTCCCACGCACGCACGCACGCACACACGCACGCACACACACACACACACACACACACACACACACACACACACACACACACACACACACACACACACACACACACACACACACCATCCCATCTATTGTTAAAATAATAAACAACTCCTGATTTATGTACTGTACAGCCCTGTAAATGTATTCAATGCATATTATATCATTATGTCTAAATCAAATGTAAGTCTGTAAATTTTCAGCCACCGGCTGCAACTCTATTAATAAACCGTTTATTATTATTATTATTATTACACACAAAACTCACCCCACACACAAACACCCACCCACACCCTCACGTACACACACACACACACCTACACATATAATTGTTGCCCCTCGCGTAACGAGAATTTGTTTAAGGTGTAGAAGATATCGCCAACACAACAACCACACCCCAAGTTAACGAGCTGCATGACCCAGTGTCAAGGAATAGTCCGAGAAGACCGGACAACTCGCCAACTGCACTGGCTAACCATTACCCCGGAATACGATCCGCAAATCGATTAACATCCAGGTTCCCAATAACATAGGCAAATGGCGTAAAGAAACTTGCTCATAGTTTCATCCTGCCCGGGGATTGAACCCGGGTCCGCTCGCTTGCGAGGCGAGCATGCCGACCATTACACCACAGGTCGCCACACACTCACATACCCACACACACATACCCACCCACTCCACCCCCCACACACTCCCCCATACCTATACGCACCCCCCACACACACACCCACACACATACTCACACACTCATACCCACACACCCACCCCACACACCCACACCCTCCACACACACCCACCCCACCCCCACCCCACACACACACCCCCACCCCCCACACCCTCCCCACACACACCCCCACACACACCTCCTCCACACACGTAATATAAAGGAACACCTTACCGTCCCTTTTAGCTTCATCTCCTGGTCGTCGCCGCTTCAGATACCAACACAAGTGAGGCAGCAGCAGTGATAAAACTTTCAGATCGATGAATGTGTAAATACTTGTTTCTTGAGTTGGCAGACTACTTGGAGAACTTTTTACCACGGAGGGAGTGCCCTTAGCTTCTTCCTCGTCTGTCTGTGTTGTCTAGTTCAAGAGTTAACTACTGTATTGATCGGCATGATATGAGGCAATGGTAACGCGTAGAGACACAGAGAGTACTGGTTGGGTGAGGGTGAGTGAGTGATGGAGTGTGGGAGCGAGGAGCGAGTGAGGGAGTGAGTGAGTGAGCGAGGGAGGGAGTGAAGGACATATGTATAAGTACAGTATACGTGTGGGCTTGTTGACGTCTGTTGGAGGACTGAGTGTGGCCTGCATCCTGCTACGTTATATACCCACCTGCACCCTCAACCTGCCCACGCACCTGCTAGGACTCAACACTCACTCAAACAAACACTCAACTACGTGTACAAACCGTCCTTTTGTGTACAATATCATGTATATCATCCACCCCTCATCCGTATACATACTCTCACGACATCCACCAGAAGACAGTACTCATCCAAAACATAGAAATAACATTCTCCTACTACCACACACCCATACGGACACCCTTATTAGCCATCATCCACTTACGCTGTCTATCTGTCTGTCTCGGTCTAACTGGATTCTCAACTCGTTTCCTCCGTGAGAAAATCAATAAAACTTGCCGACTCACAGGTATGCCCTTCGTCGCCTTCGTCACCTTCCACTTGTTTCCCTCATTATACCTGGCCCTCCTCCCCCATCTCCCCTGCCTCCTCCGTAGCCCCTCTTCTCCCATCCCCCTCTCCCTGCACCCTTCCCTCCCCTCACCCTCCCCTTAGGTTTACTACTGACCAAGGAAGGAATCGAGGCCCAGACTCCTCAAAAGCTCACATATATTAATCCCTCCTCCCAGCATGTCGGCCTTTTCCCAGCAGCTGAAGATATGTGTGACAGGGTGTAAGACGTTGAGGAATAGCTCCATGGCCGTGTCGCCCCCAGCATCATGACTCGTGACCAGCGCAGTGTATACCTGCAGCCGGGCAAAGAGTCCAGTGGGGTTAGTGGCCTCCCTCGCCAGCCGGACTACACCGAAGGACGTTTGGTTTGGGACAGGGTGGTTTGGACATAACCTAACCATAAGTAAATTTGCTGATGACACTAAAATAGGACGTGTTATTGAATCTGACGAGGACTCCGCAAAACTACAGGAAGATCTAAACAAATTTTTCGAATGGTCTGAAAAATGGCAGATGAAATTCAACGTGGACAAATGTAAAGGACTCAGTATAGGAGATGTAAACAAGGAAACCAGATACCAGATGAACAACGATGCCATAAAGAAATCCGACTGCGAGAGAGATTTAGGAGTAATGATAAGTAGGAACCTTAAGCCAAGTAAACAATGTGTTTTTGCTCGTAACAAGGCTAATAAAGTACTTGGGTTCATACAAAGGAGTGTTAGTTACAAGACTAGCGAGGTTATCCTAAAACTGTATCTTGCGCTTGTGAGACCACACCTGGATTACGCAGTTCAGTTCTGGTCACCGTATTACAGAATGGATATAGAATCATTGGAAAGAATTCAGAGGAGAATGACAAGACTCATCCCGGGCATTAGGAACCTTGAGTATAGAGACAGGTTAAAGCATCTTAATTTGCACTCCCTCGAGAGACGTAGAGCGAGGGGCGACCTAATAGAGGTGTATAAATGGAAGTCAGGGCTAAACAAAGGGGACATTACAAAGGTACTCAAACTATCCAACCAGGAGCGAACTCGTAAAAATGGTTTTAAATTAGACAAACTTAGATTTAGGCGCGAAATAGGTAAACACTGGTTTGGAAACAGTAGTGGATGAATGGAACAAGTTACCAAAAATCATCATTAACTCGAATACGCTGAATAGCTTCAAACATAGGTTGGATGCTTATATGAGCAATAGGGGTTGGGTGTAAACGGGACTGCCCAGTATGGGCCAATAGGCCCGCTGCAGTTTCCTCCATTCTTATGTTCTTATGGTCCAAACGTTTGCTCACCCGCCAGATGACACACCGTATAGGTGTGAACAGGGACAAGGAAAGGTTACAGCTACCTACATGGTCAAGGTCAGTCGTGTCGCAACGCAGCGTTCTAGCATGTAAGAGTAAACAAACTACCTTTCAACTATGATCAAAGGCGTTTAGTTTGATAATTATTTTCACAGTTGTTGATGATAAAACTCTTGGTTGATAAAAGTCGGTGATGGTTTGTGATTTGACCTTCCTGGAGAAGATTTTTCCCTGGAGGGTCAAGATCACTGTTGTCATCATATTATACAAGTCTTCTAGTTAGAGTTACACCTCGAGGTAGACATGACTCGTACAGGTGAGACGACAAGGTGTTGAGTGGATCCTCTTACCACCTGCTGTTACACCACAGAATACAGTTGAAACATGACCCAGACAAGCAAACAGGAAATATGTAACAAATAAGAGTAACCACAGAGTAACCCCTTTGGGAACTGATCTCCTCGGGTTACGCGCTTCGAGGAACGCCGGGAGACAGAGTAAAGGAGGAAGGTAGGTGGCGGTGTACAGTCAACTACTAAAGTCCGTTTGCCTCTCCCACTGAACAACGAACCCCCTGAACCACGATCCCCCTGAGAGATTCAGGCTCATCATCCCGAAGCAGTAGACTGATACATCATTCTGTCCATAAAGGCTTCGAGTTCACACTTCTGAATCCCTCGGGGGGGTTCGTGGTTCAGGGGGTTCGTGGTTCAGGCAGAGAGGCAAACGGACTTTAGTAGTTACCTGTACAGGGTTCATATGTTCATGCAGCTTGTGTCACCACCAACGCTCCCTCCAGCAACAAACACAGTTACGTATTATAATCCTTGCCTGTGGGGCAGCAGCTGGCGTTCTGTGTCCAGTTAGTAGAGGGAATTAGCGCCTGGGTGCTGGGTGTCACTGCTGGTGGTCGGTAAAGCTGACGAGTTGTAATGTCTAGAGAGGAAAGCCACACCTACACCCACGCCCACAACCACACTAATGAACCACACCCACAGCCAAACTAATTTGCCACATCCACAGCGACGCCCACAACCACACTAATGAGCCTCAGCCACACTAATGAAACACACCCACAGCCACACTGAGATCGCTGTTAATGTAAGTAATTTTAACCAATTTTACCATTTTTTCCTCAATAAATTACAGTGTTATATGGCAGCGGTCCTTACCCTTAGCTGTTGGCTCGTACACGAAAAACAACTCTCCATTGAATGTTAGTTATTTTTAAATGACTAGTTCACGTGGGCCCCATTCCTAATAGGTCCCTGACTTACCTAATTATTTAGAATTAGGCCCCATATCTAATTGGTCCTAATTTCATGGGTGCCAATTCTGATGGGGTTGAGTCTCATTGGTTAGGCTAGTTCAGGGACTTTGGGGACTTGACCCCACTAGGACTGGGGTCAATTTTGTCTACTGTCGGCCAGAGGATTGTGTTCTTAAGGAGGGTTGAACTCTCCAGGTGACAGCTAGGGTGTATGTAGACTGTCTGTTATACAGTCTAATCTACATAACAGAAAAGTATTTGCCAAACTGTTTTCTTCCTATCCCACAATTGAGAAACACCTGAGGAATCATAAGGTATTCCAGGTATAATGAAACACAAGGTTGCGTCAGGAACTGAAAGGTGTAAAAAGAAAAACCTAACGCAAAGTCACTAACTAAACAGGAAACAGAACTTTTGGTGAGACGCTGATGTAACACATTGTGTGGCCATCCTCACGTGCCAGGACGTGACATCAGACCACAAAGACTGGTGTAACGGGTGGCTGGAATGTGTGGCGGTAGTTAACAATTTCATGGCCACATGCTCACCCTCCCTGATGCCATCACAGCCTTTGAGAGGCCATTACCTACACCGTGGACCAAGGACCGTGAAGTTAATGGCTGCATCATTGAGTTTACCTGAATTACTTTTGACATAATATTAAGCTTTCTTCCCGGCCAAGGCGTTTAAGAGCTTTCACTAACCTGGTCTCCTGTCCACCAACCTCCGTGTCCGCTGGGAAGAGAGGTGTTATTATCCTCACTGACACCAACTGACACCAACATCGACATCATCCAGTCCTAACTACAGTGGATCGGTCACGTTGTCTGCAAGAACAGTAGACTAACGAAGCAGTTCCTGTACAACCATTCCAATAAGGCCAAACGTAAGATGTACAGTGTCGTCCAAGATTCTTCAAACACTGCTGGGGTCAGCTGGCAACTCCAGGCCGTTTGTTTACTGTAGTAAGTAGTATAATATAATAAGAAACAACAAAACCCAACCATTAAATTAAGCAACAGGGAACTAAGTAACCAATCACCGATAGCCATTTACATTCATTCATAATTTTTACTACGTACCATGTTAAACAAACGGCCTTCAGTTGCCAGGTGTCTCCAGCACTGTTTGAAGAATCTTGAACGAGACTGTACAAAGATACTCAATATACTCAAAGTCAACCTGAAAAGGCGTCAAATCGACTCTCACATGTAGGAGGAGACCATTACTCCCAACGGAGACGCATGAAGAAGTACAGTCCCCTTCACTAGTGCGTTTACAGGGGCTCGTCCTATAAACATTCCATAAACCATTACATTGAGATATTTCTTTTTGCACTATTTTACTTTGATTCCATAGTATGTTTATGTTGCGAGTTTCCTTCTGTCGAATGTAAAAAAAACACAACACTGCCACCCTACATAAAACCTGACGAGCCCCTGTAAACGTACTAGTGAGGGGACTGTACCTCACGGCTGGATGTAAAAGCATTCCAGGTTGATCGACTACACACCGTGGCATAAAAGCACCAGTGTTGACCCCTCCCGTAATACATGTAGTCCCACACACATAGAACCCCTGTGGACGACTCTACTCACCTCGTATTGGCTTCTGGAGTCATCTAAGAGCTCACCGACCAAGAATAAATATCATAAGGAATTCCCATCATCTTGTCAACCCGGGATGATCGGCATACTGTAACTCCGAGTGACAGCAAAGAGAGTTGGTGGTAGGGAGGGGAGGGGAGGTGATAGTGCATGTGGTGGAGGAGGCATGAGTGGTGGTGGCGGCGGGGGTGACCTAGGAGTTCTGGTGTAAATATCCCACACCGTACAGGGCAGAGGTGTAACGCGTGTGGGTGAACCTAGGAATTATTAAGCAATGGGTTAAGTTAAAGGGGACGGGGAGAAACAGGCTATACTATCATGGAGCTGTTCCTTTGTGTGTGTGTGGGTGTGTGGGTGTGTGGGTGTGTGGGTGTGTGGGTGTGTGGGTGTGTCAGTCAT